TTTCTTTCTTTCTTTCTTTCTTTCTTTCTTTCTTTCTTTCTTTCTTTCTTTCTTTCTTTCTTTCTTTCTTTCTTTCTTTCTTTCTTTCGATGTACATTAATCAATGTCATTTTTCTGGCAGTATAATCCGACAGGTTTATATGGTGGAGGGGTTTTTTTCTGTTTATGTTCAGGTGAATTTAGTTAGTTTGGAAATTGGTTTGGTTGATGTTAACTTGTCTCTTTTGTGTGTATTTGGTTGATTCATTTATTGTTGTTTGTCAAATTATCTGAAATAAATTCCTATTCATTCATTCATTCATTCATTCATTCATTCATTCATTCATTCATTCATTCATTCTCATACTTGTACTATTCCTTTATTGGTTATGTTTAATATTCATCTAAGGTCTTTTGTAATTTATTGATATTTATCTGGATAGTTTTATTAGACAAAAAATTAACAAGGACGAAAAAAGTTGAAAAACAAGTTTTATTCTTTCCTTTTTCCTAATTCCTTCATCCTCTACTACTTTCTGTTTTTAGCTATCCTTTTAAAACATGTCCGTAGCATAAATTTAGATTTACTTAAAACACGATAGATTAGATAATTTAGTTAATAATTATATTTTTTATGATGAATTTAAAATTACTGAAAATTATATCAAATGGTGTTTCTAAATAAGTCACATCGTTATAGTCTCGGTGTCCAATTCTGACATGTATCTCTCTGGTTTCCCCATTTCTCACACCCTTATTATGCTCCTTTCCCCTTCCCACCTGATCCGTAGGTAAGCGAAGACTGGAAGTACGTTGCCATGGTGATCGACCGGCTCTTTCTCTGGATTTTTGTGTTTGTTTGCGTGTTCGGCACGTTGGGCATGTTCATGCAGCCCCTCTTCCAGAATTACACAGTGAAAACCATCAACACACCGGGCTGATTGTTCCCCAAACGGCAAACACGTAACGGACAGCTCAGCTCCCTGACCAATCAGCACAGCAGGACAAAGGCCCAAGGTGTTTTGGTGGTGTGAGAATGTGTGTGTGCGTATGTGCGTGTGTGTGTGATCATGTACCTTGGGATGGGGATTTTAATGTTATAATGTCTATGGAACTGGAATCGCACTGGTACTGAACAGCTGTCTCGTCCATTAACTTTATGACAACATTTTTGCAACAAGCAAACCTATTTTCTTCTATGAGCATTGAAGAAATTACAGTGAAACTCTTTTTCCTGCATTTTTTATTGTTGCTGGAAAATCAAAACAGACTGACCTCCCCTCTCTGGTGTTAAGATCCTCCCATTCCCCCCTCCTCAGCCTGTCAAAGAGTCTCTAAGAGTGAGGACTCTTGGATTTTCTCCTTTTTACACCCTGCCAAACCACTCTGACTGCTTAACAGCATCTCCACAGCAGGAATGAGTCCATGGTGGTGTTGAATGATATTAGACATCAGAGGGGGAAGAAAAGTTCATATTAAGCTTCTTCTGTTGTTTTAAAAAAAAATCCACTGTCAGTGAACTGATTTAGTCCGTGTTATCATAGCGTAGCAGCTTGCCACAAGCATATAGCATTAAGTAAATATTAGTATTTCTAAACATCAGTTCATACACAGGTTTGTTGCTGATGGAGAAGTGACAGAGTGTTGTGCGATTGTAAAGATGTAAAAGGAATGTGATTTTAAACTGTATGGGGCAGCCAGTGTCCTGCACACTAACCGTACGTGTGACAGCTGCATATTAAAGGGACATATAAAGAGGATGCTAATGCTTAAAGAAAGCTAGGAAGGAATAATATTAAGAAATCATGCATGGACCCATTTTGTGTTTCTTGCTTAAAGTGTTTCAACTTGCTGTAGCAGAGGGCGCAGTTGCAGATGAGTCCTGAAAAATGCAGGAATCTGAGCCAAAATGGTGCAATAGAACAGAATAAGTGCTGGACACAGGAATGTGATTTCTATTTAACCAGTTGGAGTACCGAGCTAAGAGGAGGTATTGGTTGTAGGGATGGTTGGGGGGTAAAGCAAATCAACAGAGACTTCTGGATTATTGTGTGTATTAACATGGTTTCACAGCTGTTTGCTTTGAGTTATCCTTCTAACCACCAGGGTGTTTGAAATATACCTATTTGCTGTCTGTTCTCCTCGTTAGAGATGCACCTACAAAAAAAGCTTGTGACCTCATTCAGTCAATCTCCAGCTTCAAGCCCCAGAGAGAAACTCCAAATGTACTTATTTACTACTTCAGTGTGGTGTTCCAAATTAAAAGGCAGAGAAAGCACAGCAAAGCTAGAATATCTTTAGAGGAAACAGGGTCGTTCATGTCATCTGGTGAAGGTTTGTTCAGGCTGAGCAAGAAGGACTTTGCAGTAGATGACTGGAAGGATTACATGTTGCTTTATTCTTTTAAGATTTCAATCTGTTTGAAAACCTGCTAAATTGGGTCATGTTTAAATCCTTTTAAATGAAAAAGTCAGGATCTAGACCAGTGATTCCCAACCTGTACGTGTGTAAATGTGCCCCTAGTGATCCGCGAGTGCATTGCAAGGGGCACATGAAAATATTTTATTCATTTTTCTAAGGGCCAGATTGAAAAATTGAACAAGCTTTTATTAACCAAAAATATAAGATTTTACAGCCTGAAAGTAGCTCAGATAGCTCACACTGAGCTGTCTGAGCTCATCAAAGCAGCTGAGGTGTCTGGATGAAAACAGAGTAAAACTAATAAAGTCAGTCTGGCTGTAATTTTTCTGTATTTCCTTCCCAATTCCTCAAGTTTAAATGTGATTAAAAGGGAGTTACTCAGAGGAGCTCCAGCTTTATAAAACACAGGTTTATAATATGTTTTTATTTTGTATTTATTCCCTTTCCTACTAACTTCCAGGCAGCATCTTTACGCTGTTTTTGTTTTTTGTTTTTTATTTCAAATGGAAAGAATAAAAAGCCTCAGAATTGAATGCTCAAATTAAAAGATTAAGTAAAATAGTTTTGTTTCAACTTTTCGACAATCATCTATACTTTTGACTGAGAAGGGTTCTAATGGGAAGACATAAAAGGTTCGGAAACACTGGTATAGATTATGGGGAAAACATGTAGACTTTACTGTTTTTGCAATGCAATTCTATGAGACACCTTTTTAACATGTCAATTCTTGAATAACTTTGTTTCCAAAATGATCAAATATTGTTGGTAAAACCTAGTTATTTTTTATCTGTCTGGTGTAGAAATGATTCTGTCCGGTTCGGAATGATACAAAGTCCAAAAAGTACTTTGAAACAGTAATCCACTTATTACTGGATTAGATTACTAGATTGGCATCCATTCATTCCTATTTATCTACTTAAGGTTCTCCTTCATCATACACGTCCTATGGTAAAGCCAGGTCACCTGAATAGAAATGTCTGTGCCACAGCGCCATCTCAGGAAGAAAATAAAACAAAAATAAATCTATTCAGTGCCATTCCTCTATTCTTTAATAGCAAAGCCCTAAAATAGGAATCAGTAGCAACTCTAAAAAAAAATCTCAGAGTTGCCACAAAATTCAGTTTGGTGTATCTCTCTAATCCTCTATGCCTGAAACATTAGTGTATAAATGTGCAAACCCTTCTGCTCTATTACTTCTGAAGGTTACAGCATAAAGAATGTGTGTTTTCCCACCCTATGATCAGTTAGTCCCTGCCAACCTATGTCTACCCCTCAGCTGAACACTAATATTAATCACATCATTAATGCATTATTTTATTTACAGTTCGGCTGATTAGTTCTGTTTTCAGAATCTTCCCTGGTTTCTTACCACCCGCTAAAGATAGAAAAGAATATTTATAATCACCTGTGCAATTAACATTTTAATAGGTAAAGAGCATCAACTGTAAAAGAGGTACATGATAAAGTGTTTAAAGATTGAAAAAAAGTGGGGCAGGAAAAGAGGAAAGACTCAAAATGTTTCACTATAAAGGAAGAGTGCTATAAACTCATAAAGAAAAATGCGTTTCCATCCCTGTCACCATCATCATCTGGGAGGTTCTTTATCTTTTTACAGTCATGTTGCCAAGTCGGCTGCTTCACTCGCTGGGAGATGTCTTCCTCTCTGTGTCTCGAGGATGGGATCATCCGTGGGGATTCCCGGCAGAGCTCAAACAAGTGTGAAAAGCCTTTTAGAGACCCGTGAATACTGTTGGCTGCATGGCTCTGCACAGAGAAAGTGCCCACTCTCTGTTTGCTCCCTTTGACCTTTACACCCTCGTTCCTTTTTATCGATTCACTTCCTCTGATGATTATGCTCCACTGTTCCTTCACCTTCCCCCTTTCCTGACTCTGAAATCTGTTCACCTTAACCAGTCAAATAAAGGTTTTAGGATCAGATTAAAAATGTTTGTGTTGCTCTTGCTTTATTCCTCCACCTTAATGTGTCACTGATCAATTCATCTCAGTTTCTTTTCATCAATTTTACACCATGGAGAAGGGAGAGGCATTTACTGGCTGTCTAATGTGGAAACTAAGCATCCTTTGAGCCATCATGTACAGAAAGAAAAAGCTCAATCTTAGCTTGATCTTTGTCAATGTAAAACATATCTTTTAAGATCAAACAATCTATAAAAATTGAAGCACATTATTTTGATAAGGTCTTTTTTTTAACGCAAAAATTCCTACCTACTTACCCATCCAAAAAGGCTCAATTTTTCGTTTTGTTTACATTTTATTTCAATAATAAACCAGATGTGTGCACAAATGTTGGTGTTCCAGTTTACACCAATAAAGAGCTATATCAATGAAGGTAAAAATCATCCAAGAAGCATCTTTCATCTTAATATCTGCTCTGAATCATGGAAATGATCAAGGAGCTGAATATTATGAATAGTATTATAAACTAATGTTACACTGCATTCCAACAACTTTGATTACTATTTAGGAATTTTTTTGATCACATTCTCTTAAATTAATCCAATTTAACTGTCCCTCAGGGATCCTACAGGAGTCCAGCACTGGGTTATTGTTTTTTATACATATTGCATTCATAAATCACTGGTTGTGAACGCTAATGTTATGCCCCAATCTGGGAAAAAGCAACACCTCCAAGAGGTCTAAAGGAAATTCAAGATTGTTTTTTTAGAATTGTGTGTATTTAACAAGTGAAAGAACTAGGACTTGGTCATTCAGAGTAATTTTAAGAAATTTGATAGAATTAGTAAAAAAAAAAAAAGTCAAATATTAGATCATGGCACTATTTTGGGAGAATTTCATGTATTTATTGTCTTAAAATTAGATTGAGCAGCCTTAATTTTTCTTTATCACTAACTTGTTTACGGACTTGAAATGTTTATTAGATGTTTTTATCAGTCTGCAGATAGAGCGCCATTCAAAATTATTCAAACTTCTAAACCTTTTATTGGGATTTGATTGAAAGACCAAGACAAATTATTGCATAATCCACTAACATAATCCTTGCGTTTACTAACATAAACGCAAGGGACATGCATTTATAGTATAATATTTTTTTGTGTCATAACACTAAAATTCAATGACAGCAACTAAACAGAATTAGTCCTTATCCTTAATTTCAGTTTAAATCCAGCAGTCGTATTAAGGCTTCACAGGTTTGTTTTTAAATAAACAGCTGCATGATTATCAAGTACCACAGTGGACTAGTCAGGGATAACACTAGCGCTTTTAAAGGGTTTTGTTATAAATCACTGCCTGAAGCTACAACTATAACTCAGATGGAGTGAAATATAGTGTTACCCAGAAAAACCTAGAGCCTAGAACATAGAGACAATACTCTAGAACATAGAGCTATGGATATCTATAGATGCTTCCCATTATTTATAGATGAGTTGGAGCTATTTTTCATGAAAGAACTGGTAAAGATTTTAATAGATGTGCAAAGCTGATACAGACTAAACCCCAAAAGACCTGCGGTTGCATTAATGATCACCAAACTTTAAAATTAATATTTGTTAAATAGGACTTTTTTTTTATTCCAATGTATTATTCTGTTTTGAACACAAGTTTAGCTGCACAAATATGTAAAAAAAAATGCAACTAGGTATGGTCACTTAGGCACTGCATAATGTATTTTATATTAATTTATTTATATATTCATTTATTTATATTTTAGGGTTTTATCCTGAAACTACAAGCGACTACAGTTGAAAATTGGACTGTTAAATATGACACGTTTATTTGTTAAAACTTGTTTTATTTCCAACCACTCTCCCTTATTTATTAAACTTTAACCTTTTTAATCAAATTATTCCATAAGTAAACCCAAGTTAGCCATTAACTGGACTTTAAACCTTGGTTAACAACAGAAACCTAGAACTGGAATCTTGGGAAAAGCCAGTTTGAGCCCTGTCACTGTCAGACTAGTACTTTATATAATACCATATGCTGCCCCCTGGTGTCCAACTTTTGTTTTCACTTTGCTGTAATAAAACACAGTCAACAATTCTTAGTTTAGATTAATGTTTATTTTTTCCAGGGGAACAGACTCTTTAGCATAAAGGTTTATCAAAAAATACTTCATGAAAAAAAAGGATAAAGAAATAGTCATCACGTTGTAATGTAACACAATGTAACACAGTGACAGAAATAATAGACGTGACTATTACAGGTCATGTATTTTGCATGTTTTTGTCTTATTACAGGATATCTGTTACTTTTTCCTTACTGAGATTTTGGATTTGTAATAGTGTATTTCTATGAGCAGAGTAGGTGCTCACTTCTTCTCTGGCTTATCGTTGAACTCCAGGAAGAAGTCATTACAGGCTACGGTCAGAGCTCCAACTAAGATGACAAACTCAGTGAAATCCACTTCTCCATCATTGTTTGAATCCAGGTCTTTCATGACCTTATCAACAGCCTCTTTGTCCTGGGCATTCTGCATTTAAAAAAAGGAACAAAATATGTGTGTAAGCTGTTTTTTTTTCCTGGTTATAATATGTATGCCACTCCACGTGCTTTCTTACCCCCAGGTAGGTGCCGAGCTCTGTGGTGAGCAACTCCTTGAGTTCAGCCCTGCTCAGCGTGTATTTGTCTCCTTCATTTCCAGAGTATTTGTGAAAGGTTTGGATCATCAGCTGCATAGCGTTCTCCAGGGTGGAGGCATTCTCTGAGTTGGGCAAAGACATTCTGGGAAGGAAACAAAGGTGAATTGGATGGGGATATAGCAAAGACAGTCTGGGTTCAAACTTATGCATGCAGATGGTATTCCCTCAGTAGTAGAAAAATCATTTCTATCTAACATTTCTGCCTGCTGCATGCAATGTGTAGTTTCAAATCCTACATAGAGATAAATATGCCAAACTCATGGAGAAGTGAAGAATCAGTGAAAAAACTTAACTGAAACTGTAGTAAACTAAATGTACTTTAAAGGAAACCACCTGGATGTTAGGTCTGTTTCATTAAGAAAAGATTTTCCCTCCTGACAGCTGACTTCCCTCCTGACTATAAAACAGCTTTTATTGAGTTGCAGCGATGCTATAGTGTACAGTATGGAGGTCTAACGGTTGGACTCCAAACATGCAGGCCAGCTGATACAGGTGAAATTAAACACTGCCGGCCAAAGAGAAAGAGAAGCACTAAGAGGCTACGTGATCTGCCTTTTACTTTATTTCAAACAGCAGAGACGGGTCTTGTCCTTCTCTAACCTGCATCATTTGTAACCTGTAAGAGATTTTCCAGCTGTATCAGATATTTGCTTGCAGTGCATTTCTTTCTGGAAGGCATGCAACAGCAGAGCCACAACAAAAAAGCTTTTTTTTTTTTTTTTTTGGCAGCTTCTGAAAAAAAGGCTTTAATGGAAGATTGATTGAAGCTTTTTCTGCCCTTGTTTTTTGGCTGGCATTAAAGGAAATAAATATATAAGATGCATCAGTTGCATTTCTAAAATAGGACTTTAGTCCTAGCATGTAAGATGTCCCAGATACCAGAGTCCTTTGGATCCTACCTGTGTGGAGAGGAAGCGCTGGTTTGACGGTGAAGTGTGGATAGAGGAGGCGATGGCAGCAGACAGGAAGGCTCTGGACGACGGTGCCTTAAATACAGCCCCTTTACTCCACCCAAACCACCTCTCTCCCTCCTTTCACCTGTTTCCCCATCCTGTCCTCTTCTCTGTTTACTCATGGGTCACCTGTTAGGAACACATGTAGCCTAAGATCCACCTGGAACTTGTTGCAGGTCTAGTAAATGTAATATGTTTATAGAAAACATAAAATATAAAAATCAATGCTGTCCTTTTTATGATTTCTATTTTTCATAACTATTGTTAATTTCCATTTATTTTACTGGCAGCAGAGTCTTTCATTTTTTTTAATGGAAGGGTATGTAAATATATATTCTCATATATATAAATACTGATTCTCATATATATATATATTAGATATATATAGATATGTATATATATGAGAATTAAACTATAAAATTGAATATCGAATATTGAAAAGGTGATTTGTTTTATCTGTTAAAAGATTAAACTAAAATCGCCAGAATTCATTTAACAATTTCATAAATATGGGTATAAGTTTATGAAATCCCCAAAATTAATTCATCAATAACTCATAAAGTTTGAAGATTTCGTATGATCTACACAATTTTACAGGGAAGAGTAGTGATTACCGATAAATGTCTAGCAGACAGTCACAAAACATGGATCTAAAAAAAAAAACTTGACTGTTCACAGAGTTTTCCAGTGAATCCATTCATAATAATGGAACGTAGAGTGGAAGGAAAAAATAGGGAAAAAGTCTATATATGTGCAAACATTTTTCCTGCACCAGAGACAATGCTTTTGGTGCCGGCACTTAGCTGAATAGAAAAAGGAATCAAAGTTACTCAATTTCCTACAGTCAGTTCTAACTGGGGTTAAAATGTCATCTCATACTGTGGACTCATTGGGTTTTATCAACAGCAAAGTCAGGGGAGTTGTCTATTAGAAATTTTAAGGCACCTCATACCTGCTGATAATTTTTATGAAAATGCTGCTTCTATGTTTAACTAGCGATGCAGACAAACAGAAAGCCACTATCAAAGCAATCCTGGCTTTTTAAACACCTCAGTAGATCCAGGCAGATCACCTGACTCTGCATAGATGCAGTAATAAAAGAAAGCATGAGTTACTGAATAAATATGCTGCATAGTAATCAGGTGTAAATTACAGCAGGTCGGCATTTCTCTAAAAATGTACTTCTGATTTGTCTTAGGTAATATTTTTCATTTTTAAATTGAAAGAATAATTTACTTTAGCTGTAATCCAGAATCGCCTAGATTAAAAGATAAAGCACCTAAAACAACTGAGTTCAGTTTTCAAATAGAAAATTGTAATATATACTAATTAACCAGATAAGGAAATTGTCTACATGTCTGAAAGAAATTGTACAAAAAATGTAAATGTGTGTGGTGAAAGCGGTAAGATATGACACTTATCTATTAAAATATATTTATGGAGATATGACGATTATTATTATGTTGAATGTTTGAGACAAAAACGATCTTTAAGAACTAGGTATTTATGCACATTAATAGGCTATGAGCGGCTATAAACAGTTAAAACTGTGAAAAATAATGCTCTTTAAGAAATATAATTAAAATAAAAACACTTTGCACTAGAATTGTTTCTAAACAATGGACAGACTTGTTAATAAAAGTAAAAAAAAAACAGCATTCCATGTAAGTGATCACTCAGTGTTGTGGAAGGATGAGACAATGAGGGCTGCTTTATTTTATAGTGTTTTCCAGTTTAGGAACGCTATCACTGAATTTGGCTCTCAACCATCATCCTGCATCTCTGTTTCTGTCGATCTCAAGCTATGTGCACCATCAGCCCCCGCCCACCTTATGCCTTCGTAGCCAATCAGCTTAACCTTTGCCTTGATCTCAGCAACCCTGCTACCTCTGCTCACTAGAAAAGACCCAGGTATGACCTGCAGCAATTAACATTACTGATGCTTTTCTTCTCTAATGTCATTACTCACATCACTGCTCATTGTCTGTAAGGAACCTGTTTAATGTTTAGATTCGATAGTTACTGAATTAAAGGAAATAATTCACCATATCCTAATCTCCTGGGATATCCCTGATATGTAAGTCATTTAAACTGATCTTTATCCAGCACTGAATGCATGCATGCATTGCATGCAGATAAAAGGATGCTTTCAGTCCTCAAATTTAAAATGCTGATTTTGTAATATTTATATTTTCCTCTGTGTCATCAGGTACACCTAGAGGACCTTTTGAACACAGTAGGCTTTTGTGCAAGAAATGATTTATGATTAATACAGTGGATTATCCTGCTCTTTTGTTGTGCAACCTGTTTGTATTTCATGCCAAAAGAAAAAAAAAAAACACACCAAAAGAGAGTGCTATGTGCTCTGTAATATGCTTAAATGCAACGCATCAAGTTGGGTGTTGAGGTGATTGTGTGGACCCGGAGTTCACAAAGAAAAAAAGAGGGGGGTCATGGCTGATATAGTATCCAGGTGGATTAGTTCAGGGCTAGTGAACAGAGCCTTTACACCTGCCAGACAGAAATCCCCATACAAAAACCCTACCTACAAAGGAAGGGCATGCACACATCAACCCTTCAACAAACACTTTCCTGCCCAAATACAACGACTTACTATGCTTGAGTAGACATGGGAAAAAAAGGGCCTAACCACAGTGACTTTTAAACAGGAACAGAAACATTCTTGAAATAGTTCACTGAAGGCACATTTCATCAGAAATAGAAACACACTAAATGGTTCATTTTCATCTATCTGCCTTACTCTTCAGCAAGGCTGTTGAACAAAACCAGCGGATTAAAATATGTCCTTGTGCATACATGACCTTAAACTACACCAAAGTGAATGCCTAGGCAATTTTTAAAATTACAAGCCACTAAATTTATTCCTGTGAAATGTTGGTAAGAGCCTCTTCTTGTTTATGTGTCTTTGTTGCAGTATATTGTGTCAGTGAGTGGGGCAGCACGGTGTGAGTGCAGGTTTCTACACACCATACATGTGGATAGTGTTGCAGAGAGGCAGTATGGTGCACAATAGAAAGCATACTGTGTGTCAGGATCTGGTTGCAGCAGTTCATGCATCTAAAAGCCGATGAGTCGGACTCATCAGAGAATTTACAGCTATATTTAGCAAGTGTAGCATGTAGGGAGGAAGGGAACAAGGTAGCTTTGCAAAAATGCAATGCTATTCTGCAATCTTATATTGCAGCAAAGGCTTATTGAAACATTTAGAAAATAAGATCCAACCTCTAACTAGAAAGGGAAAAGGTTTAGTGCTAGTAAACCATGTCTTCCTGTTTGCCTGATCCCCACGATGGGAAACAAAAGCCAGCATGTTGTTCAGTTAAGCAGATGTGTTGAGCTGAGAAAGGTCAGGAAACAGCAGGTAATATTGCCTTTACTAATAGCTGGGTTAAAACCCAAAAATTAAATTAACCAACAGAAAAGCATGTCACTTTATGTTCCTGCCAACTTCAGTGGACAAGATGTAGTAAAGATTGGTTTCTTAAAATCATCATGTCTACATAGGAGCAACAAAAGGCTATCTATGGATGCATGTAGTAAAGGCAGAGAAAAATAAGAGTACAGATATTGAAAAAATGTTTGGAAAATATTTTATTTTTTCAACTGTTATTTCTGAGTAGCATTGTATCAAAATAAATGAACACTTTATGTGTATGAGTAAAACCCAGTGATTCAGCTAAGCTGAAAATGGTATAAATACATCAGGTTTGTACTGTACTATCGAGAACTGAATTCTTCCTTTTATTTTTGAAATTATTTATTATGCATTTTGTTGAGTCTTTTATGTATTAACCAAATATTTTCTTTATTGTTGTATCAATTATTAAGTGATGCAAATTTAGCCTCTAACCTTAAATGGATTCAAAGAAAAGGTAGTAGGTGTATAAAAAGTATTTAAAAATATTAATGTTTGCCAGGATAAAAAAAAAAAACCACACAAAAGCAGCAATTAAAAAGTTACCATAAACGTCAGTTTTGATACAAAGCTTTTATTTGCAAACCATGTTTTCTATTTAAAGTTTTTATAAAAAAGACCAACCAAGAACTTTTATGTGTGGGACTGTTTGGATTAAAAAAAATAAAATAAAATTAAGCAAAGGTTTAGAAAAAAAAAAATGCCATTCAGTAAAATATTACAGATATCCAAGATAGAAAGACATTTTATATGCTAGTTGGAATGTTTCAGTTTAAGTAGGAGGAAGGTGTGTTTTAGTTTCATGCAGGCCTCTTCTTCATGATGCATTTGCTTTGGATTCGGTTTTGCTCTGACTGAGGCTGTTTGCAATGTAGCCAATCAGAGTGAGGTATTCCTGGAAGCTGACTTTTCCGTCACTGTTCTGGTCCAGGCCCTGCTGCATCTCCTTAACGGCGGAACTACTGTTGGTGTCCTGACATATAGAGTGCAAAGAAACAATATGGGTCAAATGTGTTCAAATAATACAGAACACAGCTAGGAGTTGTACGCCTTCTTACCTCCATGACACCACCGAGCTGTTTCTGGACCAGCTTCTGGAAAGATTTTGAATCAAGGTTCTCCTTCCCTCTGGCAGAACTGAGAAACGTTGTCACGACGGTCTTAATGGCTGACTCCATATCTCTAAAATTAGAAGAGACAAGGGCAGAAGAGGACAGCTGAGTAAGGAAACAGTGAGATATGGTCGTATCTTAGAATCCCAGCCTCTCAAACAATATGCCTTCCAGTGGAGTTCTGGGTAATCTAATTAAAAGAAGTACTTTAATGGTGCATTGCAGAAGTACTCAAATTCCTTGATGTTTTGTCATATTGTAATATAACCTTTAGTGTAATTTATTGGATTTTTATTTTAACACAAAACAGAGTAGAATAGGTAACAATTCAGTTTATTTTAAATTCAGTTTATTTCTACAGCGCCAATTCACAACACATGTCATCTCAAGGCACTTTACAGTTCACCAGATCATCCAGTCAGATTGATTCAAAGTTTCTATCTAAGGAAAACACTGTGAATACTTTTGGAGGGACCCTTTATCAGAAATATGTGGTTTCCCTACTAGACCTAAAATCTTTCTTGAATCCCCTGCAGGAAAACAAAATCAGATGAGATGTGTAATAAAAGAAAACTGAACTCCATTTATCAAATCGATAAAGAGGCAGAGTGACAGGCGGGTAGACAAGATCCCTACCGGCTGATTGAACTTTTTATTCCGTAAATAATATTTTTCATAATGCATGAGCATTCTTTAACATTTCATTTAGAAATGCACACAAGTAAAAAAAAATAGTGTGTCAGCTGGTCTTGCTTGTGTCTTTATCACTGCTGCAGTTTATAAATGGAAATTTTCATTGCTAAGCTGCTGCTCATTCACTGTTGGAAAGCTCTATGTAATGAAATTTTGTGTTTTTATTCATTTTTCATATTTTTTTATACACTCTGTGTATACAAAATGGCAATAAAGTTTGTCTTAGTCTTATGTTTACACTAGATGGATGGAGGAAAAATCATAACGGGGGAGAAGGAGAAGAGTGAAGGAGAGGATAATATGGCTGGAACGAGTAAAGAGAGAAAGAAATGGGTGAAGAAAGAATCCCTGGAGGAAAGGACAAAGGAAGCTACAACCTCTGACAGAGGACATCTGGTCCACAAAAACCCACATGAAAAACTCATAAAAGTTTAGATTACACCTCCCTAATATCATCCACTGCTGCTACACCTCCACACGCTCTGAAGCAGCACATCCCTCTGGTCAAGAACGATCCATAAAACATCACTAAACGGGACAAGCAAACAACCTGAGCACAAACAATGTGGATTTCTAAATGATTCCCTGGGTGGTCTATTTTCTATGCAACTTTGAATATATACCTGATAATATTTAGATGAAAACATATTATTATTTTGCTCACAATAAACATGAACCCATGATCTCCCTGCACTTAAAGCATGGTGTCTATAATTAAGATCACCATGATAGATTCTTATTTGTCTTCTGCATGTTCAGAACATTTGCTCCAGTTGGTGCATGGCTGTGGTTTTCTGGCACACCTGTTAAGAGCAAAGACATTATTATCAACACCTGCCCCCTACACCGCAGTGACTAATAGCAGCTGAGAACTGAAGCTCCCGTTTCACAACAAGCTGAACAAGCCAAGGCGGTAATGAGAAAACTTCTGCAATACTGCTGACAGCAAATAAAAATGTGTATTAAACCTCTGTGAACGTTACTGGTGAAGTAAAACAAAAATGCCATTCTATAGAAACAAGCTGGGAAAAATGTCTCGTGCTACAGATGGTGCCTCTTTTATGTCAATCTCTGAGAGCGACCTGAAACATCATCTGCTTCACCAACAAGACTTAGACGTAGACACAACTTTATTTATCCCTCGGGGAATACTTCTTCAGGGAAATTCTGGTTCCAGAATCTTATATAGAGTGAAAAGGGCAGAGTTAAAGCAAGGTGCCATTAAAGATAAAAACAAAAAGAATAAAAGTAATAAAGCATAAAGAGACACAACTAATGAGACAGAATCGCACCTGTTTCCTGTTCACTCCTGATCAGTCTGTTACATTAGCAAAAGAAAGATGAGTCATCTCTGGGGTGGGAGAGCACAAGAACTTTTCTTCAAACATATCAAGACTCTAACTTTTGAGGTATTTAAAACAAAGGAGTTAAAAACAGGGATGAACACTTGAGTTTTTAAAGATCATCAAGTTACTCTCACAAAGTTTTATATCTCCTGCTGGTTTATTAAAAACATGGTCTTAAAATCAGAAAGTTACAGGTATAGGGGAGGATTTTCTTTTTCCAGGTGGATCATCAAAATAAATGGTTCTCCTAATTGTCAATCATTCTGGTGATATATTTACGTAATGCCCTCGTCCCCATTCTCACTTACTGGTGGTGAGTCTGACATAGTGCAAAAATTGTGCATCTTCTTTTGGAAAGGAAGCTTGTAGGCTTGCAGGCTCCTGCATTCGAAAGCATTTAATAGGCGTTCCCTCTCGGAAGCAGGTACAGGGTTGAGCATGTGCATTTTGTTTTTAAAGTGGAGAGGGCGGTTCTTTTCAGAAATTCGGGAAAATCCTCCTCAATACCTTTAAGATCATTTTCTGGCACTTCAATTCCTGTGTTGACTTAAGAAGCTATGGCGTCAGGATTAGGACAAAAGTGAACCACAAGCATATATTACGCTTTTCATTCACCACGAGCTTATATAATGCTAAAAAAGCATATTTTACACTAAATGCATGAATTTAAAATCCCACGTGCATTAAAAAAGGTAGAATTCCATCAATTTAACCCTGCTCCTGAATCCATACCTGGCTTTTTTTGATGTGATTGCTATCAAAATGTCCTTTATGGTCCCACAGTAGGGAAACTCACTGTCTGCATTTAACCCATCCTCTTTTGGGGAGTAGTGGGCTGCTTTTTACTGAGCTGCTTAGCATAGTGATAAAAACAGACTAAGTAATTGTAGTGTTTTTTTGTTTGTTTTTATTGTGTTGGTTGGATGCCTCCATAAATATAAAACCTGCTCTTGTGTTATTATAAACAGCAACAGATTTTCAGTTCCTAAATGGTAATAAATAACATATTTATGAATAATACATCATGTTTTTGTCATTAAATCCTTGTGATTATTACACATTGTAACTTTAAGGAGTTTGGCACAAAGAAACTTGTAATTGAGATCTCTTTAAAAATCTGGGAAGGTTTAAAGGGTGGTAATAATTTTAAATGAAGGTTTTCTCAGCTGATTACTTAATCAAAATCTATCAAAACTAATGGAAAAGAATTAATGAGTTATTTTGTGATAGTGTTAAAAATGTAATACATTTTCAAAATATATATTTTCTCTTCTCTCTATACTAATATATAAACACACAAATACAGATTTTTAAATAAAGATTTTAAAGCAGTTTATTTCAGGTTTTTTAAAATGTTTTCTAGGCTTTTATCTGTTAAACTCTGCTTATTCAGTTTTAATTCTTGTAAAACCTTGAGCAACAGCAGCCTGGAAAAATGTTGTGGACACTTGAGTAGAGTTGATCAGTATCAGCAGAGTGAAGTGAAGAGAAGAGGCTCTGCAAGATTTCCAGTGTGTATCGGAAACTACCCAGAGGCAGCAGCAGCCGCCGTATGGGTGATTGTGATGGATGAACGGGCGACAGCCGTAGGAGTAACCATAGAAGCTGCTAGATCTCCTATCTGACACAGATGCCACACCTTAATACTTGCACTACGCCTATGGTGCTGTAAGGATACACAAAATAGAAAGACAACTATACACACACACACAAGCTGAAGCATCAATAGAAGGTCAGCTTGGACTTCTACTGCATTAACCTAATTAACAGGTGAGTAAGAAGCAACATCCAAACCCAGGGTTCAGTTTCACGTCGACACACAATGCGCTCATAGCTAACCAACCAGCAAGTAAACATCTATCATCAACATGGTGCTCATTATTATTTGATAGGCTGCTATGATTGTTCCAACACCTTGTGACATCCTTCACAAGGCAAACAGCAAAGATGAATGCAAACTAGAGTGTCAGTGCAATCAGCATAAAAAAGTAAAGAGAAGTAGCATGTAGGGACTAATTTAAGTGTAAGAGGCCTTCAGTAAAGGATGCCAGGATGTCAGAATAAGAAAGAGAGGAAATGTAGGGAGGAAAAGATGGCTTGATTTGCTGGTGTTTGTTCTGAATGCACAAGGGGTCATTTTTAAGGTTCCCCTCGGCAAACATTTGTTCCGATCCAGAGTGCGTGGAGATCAGGATGACTCACATGGAATGAATGCTTGTGTGAAGCTATGCTCATTGTTTTATTTTTGCCACTGATTCTCATTAGGGGGGGTTTGACTGGTATGTGTTGGTTTGCAAGAAATTAGAAGCACATGTTAGTTCAGAGATTAATAGTTTTAGAGGTTCTTAATGTGAACTTAGACTGCAAATATATACAGTAGATATGTTTCCATACTGTTAAAAACCTACTTTAAAGATGTAGTCGCAAGCTTTTTGACCAACTAAACAGCCACAGATAAACATTGTCAAGATTCTGAAACCATCTGGTCCATCCTTTGGTGCAAAGGTGAACGTATTTTGTGTTTTAGGCGTTGCGTCCCCCTGGATCTGGCGCTTTGGGAGAGCGTAAACAGTTTTTTTTTTTTTTTTTTGGAAAGATTTAGACTTAGACAGATTTTATTTGTCATTTTGTTTACACAAGTATAAAACAAAAAGAAATTTCGTTTGGAACAGCTCTCTGGACAATTTCATCTTTTTTCAAAGCGCAGCCTTGAAAAAGAATAAGAAAAAAATATGTAAATATATAAAAACAGTAATATAAACATATGACTGTAAATTTACAGTTATGTGTGTCCTGCTGACCGTGTAACCCACATAAGGTTCTTTGCTGCCATGTTGCTGTGATAACCTCTCAAGAGTAATCTGCGCATGCAGGTGTCTTTGACTATGGTTTAAGCGTAAATATGTTTGTGGCAGTGACACAAACCACTATTGGCTCTAACATACTCACTGCAGTGATATCATTGGTGATGCATGTAATTATGCAGGGTGCACATTTTCCCCAAATTGTTTATGATCGGAAATCCTTTTTCTGTCTCAGTGTGGACTGGGTCTTAATCTTGTCTCAACTACCTTTTCATAGTTTTTTCTTACTTTGGTACTGCAAGTTTGAAGGCTTCAGTTCTTTAAACATTATTACAGCCTTTGTTTCTTGTTTTATTTGATAGATTTACGAGTTCTTCTCCCTCCCAGACAATTGAGAGGGAAAATATTCAGCCATGAGTTTTCTTAAAGGAGTTTAAGGCAAGGCCAAGATTTTTTTAGGATGTTTTCTTCGTCTGGCGTCAAGTTAAAATGATACCAGTGTTATACATATGTGAAGGAATCTGCTGCTTCTACAGGCTTCATGTCTCTGAGGAAAGAATGTTTTAGAATGAAGCTTTGTATGTTTTAAGCAAAAAAAAAAAGGACCAAGAGCAGTCCATTTCATGCCCAGGTCTGAGCTCCCTCTTTGTTGAAAGCTTCCCCAATATCAGTATCATCTCATTCAGTCCCCGATCAGACTCCAATATGGCTTTTTCAATGAGACTAAAGTTACATTTGTTTACTCTTGAGCAGAGTGGGGTTTCAGGTGCACTAGTTGTGATCAATCGTCACTAAACCATTTTCTCTTGGTTTGGTGGAGACTCAAAGAAGTTGCTTGGGGAATTAGAGCACCTAGGCATACACCCAGAGAATTCACCTCGAATCGCTCTCCAATGAACTGACATATGGAGCATATAATGGAAACCGAGATAAATAGAGGAAGACCCATTTAATACACCATGCAATTGTAAGGGAATGTATGGGAAAGATTAAAAAATGTATATTTACCTTTAAAACTGCCACAATGCATCTTAAAACTCAAAACAATTGTACAAAGCTTCTAAGCAATGAACTGAAGCACACTAATAAGTCCACATCTGAATGACTCAAAAAAAACCATTTGGGATTGGCCCAGTCAATCTCCAGACTTTAACAACATTTATTTGACGATCTGAAACATTTAAGCATAATAATCAATGAAGTCTCCATAAAACCTTCCTGCATCCAAGACATCAGGTCTAGTATCTGAAACAGGGCAGAACCAACATATTCTACACACAAAGTAGAATTTTTCCTTCAGTGTATCAAAAATAACACCAAATATGAGTATTAAACATCTGGACTTTTATAGCACTTTATCAAGTCTGAGGAACCTAAAAACTTTTAAAGCTCTACATTCAGTCATACACACAGACATTCCCATGCTGATGGTTATAGGCTGCATTGTAGCCACAGCTTCATTGGATAAAACCGACAGTAGAGCTGCCGAGCCCTCTGACCTCGAACAGTAGGCAATTAGGGTGAGGTGTCTTGCCCAAGGACACAACCAAGCAGACAGAGAGAGCAGAGCCTCAAACCAGCAACTAACTGGTTACAAGATGAACAACTACATAAAACTACTGCTGTAAAAGTCCAGTAATTACAACTGGAATGGTCTGAATCGACTTTTCTCTAATCATACGATATATAAATGTCTTTTGTTGACTCATAAGATTATATTTATGGAAAATTGCTGTGATATAAACAGACTGAAACATCAAGAAATACTAAACATTGGGTTAGTCCATCAATGTATGCATGACAACTGTTTAACCATAACAGTTTCCATGTGGTTTAGCATAGGATTTTAATGTCTAAGTCTAAGCACCTTGCATAAGGGAATTTACTTTTCATCAAGTCGTCTTAAGTCAATACATTTACCTTGAGAAAACACACCCCGCTGATACTGCTACAGTTTTAACCATTTGTCTGATGGATTATTCACTTGCAATATGATGTTTACTACATGTTAGACAGCATTCTTACAGTATATAAACTTAACAGGTTCTCACTTCAGAAAATGCAAACTATCTTTTTAGAAATAACAAAAAAGCTAAAAGCAAAACTGGGCGTTTATAAATCACACCAGCTTTGGGAAGACATGTTGCAATACATCACTCAACATTGTGTTAACCCACATTCCTGACTTCTTTCTATCTTACTCTTTGTCACAAGCACAGTTTTTTCTCAAGCTGATTTAAATAAAAGTCAAATGGCCTTTCAGAGTATGAGAAAAACCCCAGGATTCCTTTTACCGGGGTAAAATAAAGCCTGGGGCTCTGTGTGGAAATAGTGCTAATGTGCATACCATTGGCTGTTAGCATTTTGGCCTAAATAGATATATATAGCAAATTAAAGTCTTGCTAAAAGTTCAAAATTATTTAGCATTTTCATGCAGGGCAAATGAGATATGACGTACTTTTAGATATTGCTGTAATACTCTCATTTTTGATTGTGATGTTGCACAATTTGATACTACAGGGAGGATTGCACAACAAAACCCTTAAGTTTAAAAAAAACTACTGTATGATAGTAATTAAATAATTCTTTTGTATTTAAAATGTGTAAAATTCAAATCCATTTACAATAATATCTAGACATACATCCATTGAAACTGAATTGAAAATGCACTTCAGTAGTTTCTCACCAATATTCTGTTCTTCTTAAATTTTGGTTTATTTTTTGCATGAAATCTTAGCTTATTTATTGTTTCCTGATTGATGTATTAAAGTGTCATATTAGTAACTCATAAAAATTATTTGAAATAAAACTTTTTACAGCAGGCGATGATTGTGTACATTCATGCTCAAACTGGTTCAGTGAGTCATGAAGGCCTGCCTTGCCAATCTATCAGAAAACCAAAAATGTGTTTTTTTTCTCTCAAATCTATGAAGTTTTTCCAAACTTAAACCGATTAAAGCAGCTTATTGTCTCTCCTACCACTTTAATTGAGCTGATCAATCAGAGTAACTGATCAGCTCCACCCTGATGATCAGCTTTGTTCCAACAAGGTGTGTCTGTCTCCACTTCCTCCCTGTCATGGATCTGGTCACTCTCCTCATCCGCGCCATTAACTGCACCAGGCCAAGTTTCTGCTTCAGGATCTTATCAAAAACTAAATAATTTAGGCTGATAAGAGCCTTGCATCTATAATGAGGACTGCTTTAGGTTCTGGGTGTGCGCGCAAAAAGGAAAAAAAAGTTTTTCCAGTTAAAGCTGAGATGCGTAACGGAGATGTTGGAGGGTGTTTCCCATTTAAATTTAGCCCCAAACTAATCTTAACAATTTGTCAAGCGGTTGGAGGAAGAAGTGACACATGAGGTAGATAAATAAATAAAAAGGGGTGAGTGGAGAGTCTAGTTTCTGTGGAAGTGTAAAGGGATTGGAGTAGAATTACCTACTAACAAGAGGAAACCGACCCTCGCTGTCTAAAGAACAGACACTCCCCAAAAGAAGATCTGTAGAAAATAATAATCAGTTTTTCTCTGTTTGACTCTGGAAAGCAGCTCTAGAAATTAAAAAAATCGGTTTGCGCAAGAATGAAAAAGTCCAAGAAAAAGCAAGACTTACCTACAGCACAGGGAACCAAAAAATAGTGAACAGAAAATTTCAGCAGCTGCTCACTCTCTTTCCTCTTGATCCCCCTCACCAGATTAACCAACAGCACATATCTTTTCCGTGATTTAACCTCCTCTCCAGCCAACCTTTTTTTTTTTCGTTTTCACAGGGCGTGTGCCTGAGAGAGGAGGAATGTAGAAAGAGGCGCAGCTTAAACTCTCTATTTAAAGCAGAATTATTCTTGAGCAAACGAAGGGAAAAAAACACACATTTTTATGTAATCTTTTTTTCCCCCTACCATTTAAAACCAAAATAACCCATTCTTTTAATCCTGGAACTTTTATTCACATGTAACACCAAGTGTGCGCTCCTTTTCTGAGTGCGCGCACAGATGTTATCCGAGCCACACCCTGTGACTATTAGAATAAACAAACCTATATAAACAACAGAAAGCAGAGATCATACATGCACTATAATATTATTTGTTTCTTTTTCTATTTTTTTGTATATATTGGTAGAGTTTTAAGTGTTAAATCCTGTCCTCATTCCCAGGGGAATAGGGAGGTGATGTTTTCCAGGAATAAACCGAGTCAAGAAAGCTTACACATAGCTTTTTCAGACAATGCATCCCCACCCAGCAGCTCTAATGACTGGCTTGTGAGCACATGTTGCTTGGAGTGAGGGAGTGTGTGTGTTGGGAAATAGCATGGGCTGCTTCTGATAAAGCTGTAACTGTTTCAGTTCACGCCCCTCCTTCACCCACTACAGACAGACAGAAAGAAAGACAGACAGACAGAAAGATAGATTCAGTTCTAACTAGTCTCCATATTAAAGTTTTTCCACTACATTTGGTCAGAATTGAGTTCAAAATCAAGGCAAGAAACAGCCATCCATAAAAACTGTTCCATCAAACCACCAACAACATGTCATTATTCCAAAAAAGTTAAAAACAATCCCCTGGACTTTGTTTTCCATGTTTGAAGACGTTACGCTTCCCATCCAGGAAGCTTTCTCAATTCAAAATGTCTGGATTAGCGTGGAGTTCCAGGCTTTATGGAGCAGCCCAGCAAAGCCTTGTTATGGGTTATAGAAAACATGCAAATTGAACAGAAAAAACAAGTCCCCCTCTTAGTAATGCGGATTTGTTGAGGTCTGCAGAGCCAAGACACAAAGTCTTTTTTCTTTTTTTATTCTATTATGAATTTATGTCAAACACAATGAACAAAATTATCTTTAGTTATCATTACATTTGAGAAAGAAACAGAGAGACACTGATTTAAATAAAACCAACAAAATGTTATGAAACTGCTTTAGTGCTTAAAGTTTGCCTATAATTTTATCAGAGCAGTGAACTGACTTGTTGAACTCTTTAATAGAGGAAACAGACTGAGATGATTTCCTTTATGAAGGATTTCCCTTTTCTTATTATGTGGCACTCAGAAAGTTTAGTTGCACACATGCAACTTAAAGAAAAAGGACTCTATTGGCTGAATCCTCCATGTTTGCTTGCAAGATGCCCAATCAGCTGCCAGAACTAGGGGAAGCTGAGCTCTCCATCATTGTTATTGTCCAATGACCTCATGAGCTGGTCAATGGCAGCAGGGTCACCAGCATTCTGCAGGAAAACAACAGGAAACAACCTCTGTAAGACACTGAAAAAAAGAAAACCCTAATAAAAAAAACAGGTGAAGATCCTGTAAAATCACACCAGTAAGAAAAATGTTAGCAGCAATTCAATGCTTCATCAGAAATAGCCTTATATATGCAGAACCAGCAGAGATGGTTTGGCACACGATTCCTTGGCTCTGTCACCATCTTGTGGCTGCTGTGGATGAGTCCAGATGTGCAGCCAAAGAGGAAACTTGTGGAATTTTCCACACTTGGGGGAGAAAAATGGAGTCCAGTATCCTGTGTTTAGGCCTCATGAAGATCTACTTTATGTTGGTGTGTATTCTTAATAGAAGTAAGGCAGGCAAGAGTATCATGTGAAGTCTTGTATCAGTTGCACAATGAACAAGAAAAGCTCTTTTTGTTGTATTAAATGTATTATGTTCAGAAACCGTAGAACATTCCATGCATAGTTACGGCTGTGAATCACACAATCAGATGATTGCATGACCATAGCAAAGATAGGGCAATAGAGCAGTCAGATGATACCCATTAAAACCTCACTATCCCCCCACGAAATAACCGTTTTACAGATAAACTTCCTCTAGTTTGGTTTATTTTATTCCAATAAACTGCAACTAGGGCTAATGCTTAACGTGCATGCACATGAACATATTTTTTGGGGAAAAATGAAATCGGTTTAATAAGCAGTGAATCAAATATTACAGTAGATCTAGTGTTTCAAAATAGACACGGGTTAATTACAGCTCAAGGCGAAAGAGAGGCCTTGATCTCTATCATGATCTCCAACCAGAGCACATTGCCTGCAAGGTCAAATGACACATTTTATTAGTGGCTAAACATATTTTAAATCAAAATAAATGTTAAGTGTCTGTAGCAGAGGTGGGTAGGGAACCCAGAAATTGTACTTAACTAACAGTAGCACTACTTCCATCATATTTGTGCTCTAGTAAAAGTGAAAAGTGTATTTTAAAGAAATTACTTTTTAGAAAGATTAAAAAAGTATTTGGTAAAAAGCTACTGAAGTATTGGGTAACTGTTCTACTTTCTACCCATGATAATAACCCCTGATTTGAAGTTATGATGATGTAAAATGACATAATTATTGTATGCAAAAGATGGTTTTCCAAAGAATATGATAAAAACAAACATATAACACACAATAATGCAACATATATGTGGAATTAACACTTTTCAAAATACATTTTTTGAGTTATAATACTTTACAAATCACTGGTTCAGTATGTAAGAATAGGTTAAATTACATTATACTGTTTGTTGTATTTTCACTCAACCTCCAATTGACACAGTAGAGACCATAAATGGAAAATAACATTTACACAGTAAGTGTTTAGTACAAAATGAAGAAAGTGTGTCCCTCAATGGTGCATTTTGCTTAAAACTATTTTTTTTTCATTAAATGAAGTTAATAACATTTTACTCAAGAGATGGAATACTTTATCATATTTTTATTCAAGTAAAAGTAAGAGGTGCAATGCTGTTAAGCTACACCTAAAAACACTTATTTTTTTTTGTAAAAGTTACTCAAGTAAATGTAAATGAGTAAATGTAAAAGAAGTCCTGTGTGCAGTTTACCAGAAGTCATGCTGGGGACACAGCAAGCATGGAGGAAGGTACTTCGACCAGACAACATCAAAAGTTAACTTTTTTGGATGAATTACAAAAGTCTTTGTGTGGCAGAAAATTAACAGTGCAGCTCATTCTGAATACACCATCCCCGCTGTCAGATATGCTGGTTGTAGCACCATTCTCTTCAACAAGGAGAGCCAAAAAAATTAAGAGAACCTGTCTGAGCAAAAGACTTGAGGAAGGGGCGGAGTCAACCTTCCAGCAGGCCAGCCAACCTGAGGATAAATCCAAGTATACGATGGAATGGTTTAAAATGAAACATGTTCATGTGTTAGAACGGCCCAATCATAGTCCAGACCTAAACCTAATCAAGCTCCTGTGACCAAATCAGAACAGTTATTTTCAGAAACGCTTTCCCTCTAATCTGAGAGACTCATATCAATAGTCTCCAGAAAGTGTTCAGAGCTTAACTACCAGTGACCAAAAGTAAGAAGAAAAAACATGTCTTGAGGTCCTCCACAGTTTTTGTAAAATATTTTATGGACAGAAAATTTCACGCAACAATCAAACATATATGGTCTGGGGTCCAATAAAGACCAGGACAACGTGACGTAATCAGAGATTGATGAACTTTGCTCTCAAGTAGAAAATAATCACCGAGAATATATGGTAATCAGTTTAAGAAGAGCAGAGCAGCTCAGAAAAAAACCCCAAAAGATTAATGTTTTGGAGCGGCCATAGTCATTTTCAGTCATTTTCATTATTCAGATATTGTGAGTGGAGCTTAAACAGCTTTTAGTTGCTTGAAATAGAGAATAAAAGATTAATTCATGGGAGTGGCAGAAAAAGAGGATTGACAGTTTTGATGAACACCTAACTGTCAGAAGATGGTGGATGTGGACCAAAACGTAGAGTATAAGGAGCCAGAGATGAGTTTGCTGATTTAATCAAAGAAGGCAACAGAAACAAAATCCAAGAACAAAATGCAGGAACCCAAAAACCAGGAGGTGATATATGGGGGACAGAACAAAGACTTGGGTAATCAGCTAACAGGGAGAAGGTGTGGAAAGAAGTGACTAGAAGGGGGGCAACAGAGGGCAACAGAAAAAACAACATTGCTAGAAAACAACTACAATGACACAAAATGGAAAATAAACCAAATACCAAGAAAGCAGAATGACATAAATAACTGAAGTCCAAAGGGGAAAACCATAACATTGGCGATTTAGGGCGGTAGATTTTGGGGGCAATAGTTTTTTGGTTTGCATAATTCGGTTCATTTATATCACTGCAATTCATAACACATGTCATCTAAGGCACTTTACGGAGACAATTCAACCAGGTCATACAGATTGGTTCAATGTTTTCTATCTAAGGATAGCTAGCTGATTGCATTGACTTTTTCACTCCTGGATGTGTTGACAACAGACATTCAATTGTATTGGATCATTGACATACGGTAATAATAATTGGAATTAATATGATATGCTTGTTTTAAATGACACAAATATATATATATATATATATATATATATATAAAGGCTTTTTACTGCAATGCCTCTGTGATTGTCTGGAAGACGTCAACTGATGATGAGACGTGTTACTGCAGCTCTCTAACAGCTGAGTTTAATCGCTTGTATATATGCAGGAATAATAGACCAGAAAGTGGAAAAAACACCTGAAACTATTTGAAATGTTTAGCCTCTATATCTGGCAAGACTAATACAGGAATAAATTCTACTCCATTGCCCATCAGTAGGGAAATTTATGTAAGTTATCAAACAGTATTAATGAAAACATAAAAAGCATTAATGTGGGTGATTTAATCAGTATTTGGATCAAAGGAACCATGTTAAAAAATAAAAACTGAAGGATTGGTAAAAAATGTTTTGCCATGAAAATTAAATTATGGAATAATAACCAGCGTTAGTTACTTCATATAGTTTGAAATACAAGGCTGACTGTAGTAACAGTAACAGCAGTATGCATACATTAAAAGAAGAAAATACTTAAATGCTGCTTGTTCCAGGTTTAAATCTCAAGCTAAGCAGCTCTAACCAGACTTTCAAAAAACTTGTAGATGCACAGATATATCTCAGCAGCATCTCAGTTTGTTACTGTTTCTCTCTTACCTTGACAAGGTTGGGGAGCTCTGATTTGACCAGTTTTTGAAACTCATCCCTGCTGAGTGTGTCAGAGGAACCGTCTCTGCCAGCATATGCCTTGAACTGAGAAACCAGCACACCAACAGCAGTCTCCATGATGGACTCAGTCAAAAGGCAGGGTCTATTCTTTTGGGAAAATGGCAATAAAAACAACAATAAAATAAAAAAAAAAATAAATTATTCTGCAACTGAGGTCCAAGATAGAAAGAATGCTTGCTTCTGTTAAAGCTTAATACAAACTTACCTCTTTAGGTGTGTTTGAGTGTAGGTATGCTGTAACAAAGCTTCTCAGTCTTTTTAAAGCCCACATTTCTGGTGAAAGAATTTAATCATTGCCTTTTAATTTTTTCCATTCACAATGCCCTCTTTGCTGTACTCTAACTTCAATGTGTAACCATGCAGGTTTTATAGTTAGTGAGTGTGTGTAGCAATATGGACCCAAGGAAACATGACCTTATATAGATACTTCACATTTACAGATGTCCTTCATTTTGACGCCAGATTGGCTCTCTAGTGCAAGTTTTCATAAATTGATGTAACATATTGTTTATTTAAATGCATGTTACAAGTTAAAAGATGCTCTTTAAAGTAGTTATCTTATTCTGCTATTTATAAAAAGTTTCAACCATAGAAATTATTAACTTTAATCTTAATTTGTCTTCATCTTCTTAGAAGAATTTGAATTAAAATTAAAAGGACTGGACATGCAGAGCTCCAAATTTGGTTTGTAGAGAGAAATGAGACCGCAGAGCAAAACAAAGAGTCCTTTTGATTAAGGCGGATCCCTGGCTGCTGAGCTGACGGTCCAAAGGTGGCTCATTAAGAGTTCGCCCTTTTTTCCTACCCATGTGTACTCTGGCAGTAAATGCTAATTTTATTATAGGTACCATCTATTGAGTTTCTTTGAAAATATACTTATTTACATTTTGTATATAGTTTGTGTTGAACAAAAACATAACTTTTAACTAATTATTTTTGTTGTTCTTCTTTATTATTACATTTTGCAAATAAGTGGAAGTGAATTTGGATTAAAAACAAGAATCCCAAATATTATTTTAAAGAAAACAAAAAGGAGGTACAATAAATCAAAATAAAATGAAATCAAAACAAACAACATAACATTTGGGAGTGAATATTCTATCATTTTGGCTTGATTACAGCCCTTTTTTCATTTTATAAACCATTCCACAACCAATTTCTCCAATGTGAGATTAATACAGTTCAATTATTATTGTTATTATCAATTTCTTCACATTTCTTTTGCAAATCTTTCTTTTTTGCTGTTAATCTTTTTAGGTTTAAACTCAAACATGTTTTAGTTTTAGCCTCAGTGCAGTCACCTGTAATCATTTTGGAATGGAGTGAATACTGCAGTGGGTAGTGACTAATGCCCCCTAAGGGACCTTAACCTATTAGTGCCTATAACAGCCATGTTAGTGGCCTTGAAAGCCCTGTTGCTGTAATTACTCTGATTACAATTTGAAAGCTCCCCATGTTCAGTTCTCTACAAACCCTTCAGGATGGGAGGTAAAATGTCTCCATGCATCAAGAGAAGAAGTTGAGATGCCTGTTATTTTAGCTCTAAATGTTTTTGTTTTAAATACTAAGAATCAAAGCCAATGCATGTCCAAAAGGAATGCTTTAATAGATAGAATATCAATGGAGTGATAGAACATAAAGCCTCATTTTTAAATAAACAGAGTAACCTTCGGTTGCGGAACCAATAAAGTAGCAAAAACCAGAAAACCAATTGCCTTACTGATAACATTTTATGAAGACAATCTGTAAACTAAAGTTTATTTTAATTTGTTAAATAAGGACGATTTTACTAAGTCAAAGCTTAACAGGCTTTTTTATATACTCAGAACTGTGAGCAGCATGCAGCAGAGAGACAAACCAAAGCAGTTCATCACTGCTGATCATGTAATCTATGCAACAGACACTGTTGAAAATGGAGCACTAGGGTGTCCCCAATGAAAAAGAGGATGTTCACAATTGGCATATTAGGGAAGCAGTTAGTCCTAACAAGCACATTGGCTTATCGTACACAGATCCCCACACATCGCTTTAATGTCTCAGAGGTATGGCTGTTGCTGAATGTGCACATCTATATCACTTTTTACCTCAAATGGCAGCACAGAGTCCTCCCCGCATTCCCATAGCTGCTGTAGAGGAAGAAAGGAGCCGTGGCTAACAAAACTAAATGGTACATCAAGAGATTTCCACTGGGCAAAGATGAGAGGTGCTTTGTGATTAATACCTCCCATCTGGGCCTGAATCGGAGTTTAAAGAGTTCCTTGAAAATCTAACTGCAGTGTCTTGCAAAGGCATTCGTTTCTCTTTCTCTTCAAGCTACTGTATATGTTTTGAGGAGGTTATCCAGATGTTTGGAAAGAACTTGGGGTTTTGTTCCAGGAAATGAGTGAACAAAGAGCATCATGATCAGCAAGAGATGTCAGGTTAAGAAGAAAGTTGTGAAGTTTAAAGCGTGGTAAACGGTATAAAATGACATCCCAATGAGCTATGTTCAATACAATACTAACAATGGGAAAATCACAAATGCAAACCAACAAACTGTTTTTCATGCCCTCCATAGATCCTGCCATTCTGGGAACATTCAAAGAAGGGCGACTACAAATAATATACAAGAAGAAATGCATCGTTTTTTTGCAATCCATTTGGAGGATGCAGCAAACATGTGGAAGGAGCTAAATTAGTAAGGTGGCACAAAATTAAACTTTTTGTCCAACAAGCCAAAAGTTAACACTATACATAAATCTTAACACACCATTCCTCACCCTAAAACACGACTGCGTGCATTCAGTTGTGAAGACATGGTTAGGATAGATAGGAAGACTGATGGAGCTTAATACAGCAAAGCCTTAAAGACAAACACTAGGAAACTAAAAAGGATTAAAAAAAATAAGAAATATATACTTACTATATATATTACTTATTATACTATATATATATATATATATATATATATATATATATATATATATATATATATTAGATTGTGATGCTACTGAATTTAAATTATTACTAAAAAGGGGGAAAAAAGGACAAAAAGTGCATATATTGTAGGGAAGACACTGTCTGTTAGTTAATGTTCAAATGGGACTGAGATAGGGAGACTTACTGGACCAAAGAATCTTCTGTTACAGAAACATAAAGGCTGCTTATTAACATTTTTTTTTTATTTTATGTTTTTTATTTCATAATTTATTTTTTATAAAAAATTTATTTAGTTTTTATTCTGTGTTTTGACTTTGTTTTTGCCATTGTTTTTTTTTTTTTTTTAACTTTAATATACGGTGACCTTGAGTGTCCAAAAAGGCCCCTTTGAAATAAAATGTATTACCATTTATTTACAGCCACTCCTCATTTATTAAATTAACCTGACATGCTTCTAATATGCAAGTGGAAACTATAAGAACTGGCGTAGAACACAGCTGAAATTTCAACCATTATCCCACATCTGGATTCATTTAATCAGAAACAAATCGTGTCTTGAAGTTTTGTAGCGAGAGCTAAATATTTACCAGAGGAAAAAAATGTCAACTCATTCTAACCAAGATCAATGATCAACAGAGCAGGCTGTACTTGTACTCTGCCTTCCTTCTTACCCCTCAATCACTTTTTTTATTTAATCAGTCAGTTTTTTTCTGCATCTTTATATTCACTGAATTTTATCAAAAAAAGGAGAAATATATATGAATGTCTTTGACGATAGAAGTTTCCATATTAATCACAGCTACTCTGTGGAAGGTGTATAAACACGCATTATGACAGTAAAACAAGGTGGTGGCAGCAGCATGCTATGGGATACTTTTCTACAGCAGGGGTTGGTTTATGGGTAGATATAAGGAGCTAAATACAGGATGAACCTGAAGGAAAGTATCTATTTCTTCTATTAACTCTGAGACAAGCAATACTAGTTCACTTGGCAGGGTAGAAATGATGCAATCTTTCTATAAAAATGGAGGGACTTTATTAAAGTTGAACAGAGTGAACGGTTGATTTATAAAAAGGTCATAATAGATGAATTCAAACCTGCTATGATAAACGAAAATTTAGTGTAAAAATGTTAATTTGAACAGTTTTCAAGAAGAGTAATTAAGATCCAAGGGTTTTAAAATGATCTAAAAGAAAATGGCACCAATTATCAATTATTTGGGCCCAATGTGATTCAAACACAAATTTAGATGTAACTGTTATTCTTTGGACAGAAAAAAAAGGACAATAAATATAGATAGTTCACCATAAAAAGACCAAAACAGTTTATTCTCTTATCAATGAAACAAAAGCAAAAGGAATCACATCAAACTAATATCCTCTACAAGACAAAAACAACAACAGAGCATGTAAACAAATGTTAATTAAATTACATAGAAAGATTAAAGGACCACAAAACCCATTTAAAGAAGCCCTACTTTCTGAAAATGCCAGGATCTTAAGGGCCCCACATTTATTTCCTATACAATGCCTGCAATAATACAATGAAATATTTCTCTACTTAAACCATGTGAGAGGGAATATTTACAAGCAATATTACAGAGGTCAATGCATAACATGCAAACCGCACATAAATTACTCACTACCTTTCTTTAATAACCCAGACTGAAGCCAGACTTAATAAATATGGTGTAATGAGCCATAAAACATTAAGATAAATAAATATGTTAACTTGTATGCTCAACAAGGTGAACTTTAGTAAATATTAACAGTGCATAGAGCTGTATGAACAGGAAGTCTTTAAATAATAAATTATTCTAGAAAATAAGTTCCAAACACCCAAAACATTTAAGCAGGTTTTTACCAACAACACAACTGAAAAAATATTTTAACACCAGTGAATGTTATCTCAACACAAATATCTGGACCCAAAATTAGTTTTTTTTTTTTAAACATTTGCAAGAAGAGCCTCATATTTGAGGGTAAGGGTGGAAACGTGGGAGAAGTAGCTCAAGTAAGATGAGAACAAAACAAAGTTTGACCCATATGCAAAATCTTTTATGTGATGGAGGTCAAAAAACAGCTTGAAGATGCACGGTAGTGGCTGTATGATGTTGTGAAGATGCCTTCTTCAGCAGAGAGAGAAGCTAGTCAGAGGTTTTCCCAG